AATTGCTCATTCTTGCAAAAAAAACCCGACCATATTATAAACTTCACATTGGCTTCCGTCAGCCAGTTTAATGAATTCAAAGAATGTAATGATAGTATTTATTGATTGCAAATTGATTTTTAGAGTTGATCATTCGACAAGTCTGAATTTTCAATTCAAAGTTAATTTTAACTGAACTATATATTTAAAAACGCTAATGTACGGATAGCATCACACGATTAAGTTGAAAAATTACGAGCTCCGTAAATTTTTTGAGGATAACTTCTAAGCAATTCCTGAAAGTGCAGTATTTTGACAGTAAATACGAATTTGATACATTAAAGAGAAAGAACCAATCGATAGACTGAGAAAATGAATCACGTAAGATGGAAATGAATTGAATTCAACGTACAATATCACCACCAAGTAGTTTCACTTGTAAAACATCTGTTGAATGTTGCTCTGAGAGAGGAATTCGAATGCAACTCTGCAACAGGAACACATATTCTCGTCGAAAACCATTAATATCTTCTTCTAGATTTCTCTTTTCCCTGAAATTTCGCAGTCATCGTATGCCCGGCAAGAGAGCGACTATCAATGACTGATATTGTGTCGCCTGACCCGAATGGTAATCGCATTTCGTACGAACATCCTAAACTCATCTATTATTCCAGTTTTTTTTTACACTTATTAAATACTAACAATAAGGAAGAATTGTTGTGAATCGCCAAGCAGTCATGCTCATCGTTCAGCTTCGATATGTTGTGATGATTCGATGAAATTATGAATGTTCTTGACCGATGTATTCAACAAATGGAAAAAAAATATAAATAGAAAATTCAAATACTAGAAATTCAGAGTAATATAATGTTTTCGCAATCGTACAACTCAATATATGATAAACAACATTCAGAGAATGTGTTTTGTTGAATGTTACGATTCTTAAATAATGTTACGGTTTTGAAAACATTCACCAGCTTGAATGCCGTAATCGATTTTGAAGTGAACATTTGCCGACAAACAATCCATTCTTTGCACACTGATACCAATAAAAGAATGAATTTTTGACGGTTCATCGACAGTGATAATTTATGTGATAATATCTGTGGGTGACATTAAAAGAAGTAATCAGTGCACTTAGGTATCAATAACGTTTCACGCAATTAATTATTGAAATAATTTCTGAGTAGGAAAGCAACGATTGCACTCACTTCTTCCACCTATACTCAAATCAATTACGTACACTTATATTTGTGTGCTTTCTGAGAAGTTTTCCGTAAATTCAAAATTTCAGTGGATGTTCTCTTATGTAAAATTGTATTGCTGTAAAATGTCGTTTGATGCATTTTCTAAATGGATTGATAAACGAACGTTTTAAGTTTTTCGATGACCCGTTGTTCAGCTTCACTCCTCTCCGACAATCGTAACACTTCAGCGTTCAGAAATTTGTTCTGTGCAATTAGAGTCGCCTTGAAATTATCGTTGATCGCTTCTACCGTCGCACTTCTAATCCCGAAACAAAAACGAATTTTCATTCCACGAAATAGAAATCCTTATCGAATTAATTGATTTGTCTTTAATAGCTACTCTCAAAAGCAAAATTTTCGGTGGAATTGATGATAAAATTTTGCGTGCACTGATCATTTCGATATGCCGGCACTGAGAGGCGCAATGAAGCAAAATGCAAGAGGAAAATTCTGAAGCCAACAGCAAACGATGTAATTTTTCTTTTTCAGCTATTGTTTTCAAGTACTGATTTTCAAATTCGTCTCAAGTTTCCGCGATCTCACTAATAAAGTATCAAAATATGGAGTTTTGTGATCAGCTCTAAAATTTCGTGAAACATGCGTTCAAACACCTCTAAACTGCATCGAAAAATACATTGAAACATCTCACTAAATACCAACTGAAATTCTCGCAACTGTGACATTTGAACGATGAGTTTTTTGTTGTTCTCATTCAATTCTTGAATTCGTTCCTTTTGACGATTCGTTATCTCGCGAAGACGATACAATTCTTCAGTGGTTACACTGAAAGAAAGACTGAATTCTGTGGTTCCATTAGACACTGTGGTTCTGTGGTTCCATTCCAAAAAGTCTTTAAAACTTAAGCAAAGTTTCGCCAGTGAATATTGCACGAACATTATGGATCGAATTTCATATCTTAGTTAGTGAAATTCGTCCGCAACTTTCATCACAGCTATTTACTGATTGTGAGTTTTAACAGCTCTGTCAACAACATCCAATAATGCATTTCATCTGAGTCATATGGAACAATTCACACTTAAGCAAACAATCCGAATTTTTGATTGCATTTTTTCCGTATGAATTCAACACATCGCTCTGATTCATAACAAGAAGTATTTCAGTGGATTTGGTTTTGAGTCTAGTGAGTTTTTGATACAAGTAAGATATAATACATTTCACTGGAAATACTTGAGCCACGCTCACTGTCGCAGTTTGATGTGGTTGAACTGACGTCGTCAGCATCTATCTGCTGTGGATCTCTAAAATTTATTCATTTAAAAATGATTTCGAAAAATGCTGTCGAATTCGCATCGGCTCTTTGGCGGTGTGGTTCACCGTTGGATCATTGCTTTCTGATAGCAATGAAGATCATACCACGCTAATTCTTATGAAAACTATTTTTTTGATCTGAATACACGAATCTCTAAAATTTATTCATTTAAAAATGATTTCGAAAAATGCTGTCGAATTCGCATCGGCTCTTTGACGGTGTGGTTCACCGTTGGATCATTGCTTTCTGATAGCAATGAAGATCATACCACGCTAATTCTTATGAAAACTATTTTTTTGATCTGAATACACGAAGCGATAAAACATCTTATGCATGTTGATAACTACCTATTAATCTACTAGTTCAAATCCATCTCCTCTTCACTTCAGTTAAACACATTAACGACTCACCTTGCCTCGGTAATGTTCGTTTTCTCCGTTCCATATGGTGGCACCGAAAACGATTGATCATTCAGCCAACTCCGAATCCACTCATCAAACCACGACGGCAGTCGATCACCTTTTCCTTCAACTCGTTCCTGAAATTATCATTCACTAATACTAATGAATAATTATTACATAAAAGCAATTACTACAATGAATAATTCATTCAATCGCAGTCAAAATAAACCGAATGAATATTCGTTGCTAAATAAACTCAAACGAAAGCATTTTGTTTAGCCAACTGTGATAACGGCAGAAATATAATATCCAATATCGTGAAAGTGAACGAAAATACCGTTTTAATTCTATAGCCCCAAAATGTTTTGAGATCATTTGCACTGCGAACGTTCATTCAATGAACTTGCTCATATCTGTGTTTCTAGGCACAGTGAAAACTCTAATGATTATTTTGCATTCGGCAACCTAGTCGAATCGCCCATCGAATGGAGATCAGATGGAAATATTAAAAGCGATTTACTTGAAAGGTTCAAACTTTACCAGTAACGTGATGGTTTGAGTTAGAACGAAGTGAGAATAGAATAAGGAGATTGATATGAGACTGATCGTATAAACTTATTATTGCTTGTATGAGTGATCATTTCAGCTTAGTAATGTGGGCAATTGCTGTAGTTGTATACAATATGTACAGCAATTATGCTTCTTGAATGAGTCGACGAAACATTGTGACGAAATTTGAATTTATTTGTGTATCGTATTCTTTTGTTATGATCGACTAAGCAAACAACTCCTTTTCCATACATTTCGACTAATTCATTCATAGTGATCTTCAACTATCACAAACGATCACTTATAATCACTTTATGAATCGAAACGATCAGCGATGAATATTATGATAAAGTATTATTATTATTGAAAATGAACAGCCGTATCTTATCAATGACCTCGAATAGGGCTGACTTATGCTAAAGTGGTTGTGTAATGAGATACTCAATTAATACTACAACGACTGAAGTGCATCTATTTTTTACATCAATCCTGGATATTTTAGTTGTTTTAGGTGAAAATGCATCAGTTTAAAAGTTCACGGCTTTCACATGTGAATTCACCTTTCAAGAACGTAAAATGTTCCTCTCGACCGCAATGCATCAAAGCGTCCTTTCGATGCATTGAATTGAGCGAGAATTTTCATATCAATTGATTTTATCTTAACACAAGCACACAATGGCCTCATCAATACAGATTGCAAAAACGACTCGAATCTAACCTTGTCAACGACGCCTATATCATCACGTGCTTCGACATCTGTTGGCAGAACTCGAGGAACTGAAATTGATTTGACTGACGACTGACCCTGATGAGTGGTGAATGTCTGAATTCTGAAAGAGGTAATGAAAAAAAAAGTGATTGAAATGCGAATTATTAACATGGTGCAACAGATCGTCGATGCTCGAGAGTGTATCGTTGTGTTCTTTGTGCACTTTGCAGTTCACTTTCGCTCTGAAATTGTCGTTAAACTCATTTACTGATTGGTTTAAACTTAAAATGATTGTATCAGCAGTGGAATGACGAGATCAAAAGGCAGCGATCAAGCAAAAAGTGGCAATTCAGAATTCGAATTCAAATTCTTACTAATTGGTGAACGCAGTGCTCTCGAATAATTGCACACAGAACCAAATAATGTGCATCTGCTTCAACAACGATTCGTTGCATCAGTCCGTACAGTTTATAGTGCAATAATTTATTCATATAGAATGTGAACAAAACAAAATTTCCTCGTGCATTTCGTTAGCGTTTCTATTAGCTTACTGCACCATTCATTCTAACATTATTCCACAGCGGTCCAGAGGCTACTTGAGACGAGCAGAGGTGGGCACCGTTAACGCGATACTCGACAAGTCGTTAATCATAAAGTCAGCTTTGCTAAGCTTAAATTTCTAAGCGGTGATGAAAAGNGATCCTTATCTGATAATATTTTTAAAAACACTTATTAGTCAATAAAAGCGCTTGTAAACACATCATTTCGATGTTCTATTCGCAATGAGTAGCATATTCCCGCAGGTTCGCTTGTTCAGCAATATATCAGTTCGATTCCTTTAGAAAAATTATTCAAGTTCAAAACATGCTTCGAAGAAATCATCAACAAATCAACTAGTTACTTCAGTGTTTCTTATCTAACACAACCGATAATTCGTTAACGCCATTAATAACTGACAATGAATGATTGACGAAACTATGCCCACCTCTAGTTAGATGTTTCTTGGAATTTCAACGAATGCGTAATTGGATTTTGAAGCGAGGTGTTGAGGTTAATGAACAAAATGATTTCTAATCTAACTTCTAAACTGCCTCTTCGCTCGACGTATGGCTATTGTAAATATCGAAAAGTGCGACTATTGTTGAGGTGTTCGAGAGAGCGACTCACAGGGAGCGAAGCCGAACGAGAACGTGACATTTTCGGGGGACGTCTACTGAGAGGTCGACTTGTTTTACGGATATTTTCGTTTAGATCAACGCTTTCCCGTCGATTCTGCAACGCACTCATCCAGTGTTCTGCACTTCGCTCATTATCTGCATCAAAACCATAGGTTCGACCATTCGCACTGAAACAATCCGATTGATGCCTCACTTGCTTACAATCGATTACTAGAACTATCTCTCGAAAAAATGAGTTTGAAATTTTAAACATAAGTTTTGCTAGTTGCTATATTATGAGTTATAATTTATAGTAACTCCACGTAGAACGAGATTGTTGTGTTATCAATGGCTCTTGTGACGTTATTGTGAACGTAAAAATAGATGTTCAATTTGGGTGTTTGAAAAACAAACTGAAATATTTATTTCAATAATGTAATACAAATTCATTTCAACCGCAACGTACTTACTGTATAGCAAATGATGTGCCACTCTGCTCAGCGACAGTGCACGCCGCATTAGCAAGAGGGATCGTACCGACTGGTTCTTTTCTCTTCACGAAATCTGATTCATCTTTGAAAAACGTCAGCTGATTTTGAGTTTCTTCAAGTGCGAAGAACATTCGTTTCCGTGGTTTGAGCATTGAAAATGCTGAAAATGAAAACTTAGAGTGATTGAAACGTTTGGAATGAGTGCGGATTACGACCAGAAATTAATTGTTTTTAGCAATCGGGCAATGAGATAAAGATATTTGCGCAGAATTAGTATTCCCTAGGATTCTCTCTACAGACAACACCGATTCTTCAGGTTTTAAATTTAACGCCATACCCGAATCCATCTGATGTGTGTAAAATTGGGATATTAGTTAACCCATGCACCATTCATTGATTTACGGTTACTGCAAGATAATAGAACAACTATTCAGAAGGACCATAACCAATATAAAGTCGGAAATGGATGATCTTTGCATGCATTCTTGTAGCACATAATATTATGTGAACACCAACTTCAAAGATATCGTCTCAATCCCGGAACATATCCAGAAATGATTCCATTATCTAATTCGTTCTGAATAAAAACCAAATGAACCAAGAAACTTCATAATCATCGCAGATAAAGTCAGTTAGTATTGGTGCAACTCAAAGACACAATGATCTCGAGAACAAAAAAAAGATAATTCGTTTCAGTGAGCCAATCGCCGGAAAAACATGAAATATGTTTTATTTTATGTAGGCGTGGACAAAGGATGCACTCGTGCGACAATATTCTCGTATTTCAAGATCTCATGAGTTTTGTTCTCAAGAAGGTTAGTCTGAGAAGAATTCCAGGAACGAACGAAATTCAATCTCTTCGCACAAATTTCTTCAGACATACGTCGGATTCGTGGTGAGAAAAAATCATGCTCTTTAGAGGTGGAATGAAGCGAAATCATGACAAGAGATTCTCGACAAAACAACATGAATTATGGAATGCAATTTGTGGGTTGACAATTGAATTAGTGCTACTTTCAGAAAATGAAAAGCAAACGAAGAACAAACATATCTAATGTGATTGATGTACGGCAATAATGTAACGTGGAAGCGAAAGGGCTGTACGTGTAACGAAAGTGTTCACACAATTAAAATGATTCGCAACGAATGCAAAAAACGATTTCAAAAAGGCATTACAAATGCGTCTCGACGCATATTTAGAATTTCCTTTCCCAAATGCCAATACACCCCATTGTAATTTCTTTTGTGATTTCCATCTCATACCACTTTCAACAACCGTTTCCATTGCTATTCATTGCAATGAATATTGTCATTCAACGCACTCCTCAATGCTATAAAGTCAACCATCAACTCATCCTCTAAATGTTTTCTGCTTTTCTCGCCACAGCCACCAGCAAAAAATGTTTCTAAATTTCCTTCATTGAATAAAAATGGTCAGAATATATTTTCGCAGAAGTCACAACCTTGAAAATCCTGCATGCTCATAGGTTGAGTTCCTGAATACGGTAGGTACGATTCTATCAAATCTTTTAGCTTCTTACTTGCTAATTTTATAGTCCGACTTTCAAATGCAACGATTTCCCTTCCCTAAATTTTCCAGGAGATCATAATACTCTATTAATTTTCGTCAGTATAAATAACTTTTGAATTCTGCTGAACNAGGTAAATTTGATGAAGATGAGTGATTACTCATTCGGGAATTCAAATACATTTCTCACCTCCACCAGTTGGTTTCATGTGCATATAACCGACAACAGAGTACCATCCTTGAGATTGCGATGTCATCAGTATTAATATTTACGTATGTTGCTCATGAAGCCAAAATGTAGATTGACTGCAGGAATGACTGAAGTGAATCGACAACTGTTTGGCTTCAGTAAAGTGGTTGTTGTTCTGAACGCAGCAGACCTCCTGAAATTATGGATGTTGTACATTGCTCTTTGGTGTACACCTAAATAACGCTCAAGCAGTGCAAAGCAACAGGTAATGCAATGTCGTAAACGAATGAAGATTTTCGAAGTTGCTTATAGCGTTGCTTATAGAGGATAATAGTGCATAGCGTTGCTTACAACGACAACGCTTTTGCAACTAATAAAACGAACAAATTGGAAATATTTTGACAGATGAAGGCTGATCATAATGCGATGTTCTTGCAGATATTATTGCATTAACATAAAACAAATGCAAATCAGTAGTCAGTATTGAATGATTATCATAATATTGCGTTTTCTTTGCACATTAACGCAAAGGTGATGACAGATCTGATTTTGAGCAATAATCCTAATACATAGAAAATCATGTGGGAAAAAGATTGACATTGAATGACGAATGAATATATGAGAAATGGCAACAGAAAAGTTTGAAAATGAAATGATAAATGCTTTCTGAATAGTCTATGAACGGGATGGAATATCCGGAGAACACTCATGTTCATAGATCTGTTGAAATTCGGTGCTTATTTGAACAGAAAGGATTTAATCGTATGAGCACCTAAACGGCGGTTCTGTCACAAAGTAAAATGCCATTTCATCGTAAACAATCGCACAGGCAAACAGTATAACCAGCTTCAAATGCTAATTATCATTATAACAATTATAACAATCCATCAAATGGATTCTATTTATTTGTATCTTGCCTGTGCTTGCTGCCATATGACAATACAGTAGTGCATAGTACTTTTGTTTCTACAAGTAATTTTGAGTTTCTGGATTTCTCATTCATATACTCAAATATGAAGTCGAACTGGCGTAATTTTTGGGTGCGCTATTTCAAAGAGCACAGTTTCCACAATATTTGTGATGATATTACAAGCATAACCACTGATTGAACACGTTCTTCAAATCGTTTCATAACTTCAAATTGTTATCAGACCTTTCCGAGCCAACAGTATTCCGAAAGAATCTATTTTTTCAATATTGAAGTGTCAGTTCTACCATGATTTAATAAAACAATAATCGGTGGCATCTCAGAACCACAATCGATTACTCAGACTGAAAGAGGTAAGGCGGGAGGAAATCCCCAATGAGAATACACATAGAAATCTTTACTGACCAAAATTTCTTGAAAACAAACCAAAATCATTTGTGTCATCACAACAATAATTCATGCATAATTCTCGAAAATTGAACTTACATTTCTACTCATTGCTTCAACAAGTTTCATAGCACTACATACAATTTTAATTCCTAACGAACAGATCTCCATAAAATTTTCTCGCATTTGAGAACATTTTAGTCGAAATATGCATTTGAAACAATACAATGAATTTACGAACATCTTATGTTCACAAATTTCCGGATAAAACAACACAACTACACTTATCATTTCTAGCGACGCAAATCACATTCAATCGCAAAACTTNGGGGGGATAGGGGTGACATTAATACAAGGGTGTGTTTTGTTTACAAATTAAGTCATGTTGGCTGAACAATCGCACGAAAGCATCTTTGATGACGTTTGGCGCAGCGCTCAATTAAAAATATAGCAGCAAAATGAGCACGATCGTTCGGAAACAAGCATGCCGTTGTGGATATTATAAGAGCTTTACTTGAAGCACTGTCGAATGTTCTGAAACGGTGATGACAAAATCATTTTGACTGTGATGAAGAGCAATTCACTGACACGTTTCACGTTTCAAAATTATCTTACATCATCGAATATTGAATCTCTCCGCTGCGTATAGAACTATTACACGCCTCATGATGTTCGAAAAAAGTTTTCGAACAAAACATGAAATCAATAATATTGTTGAACAATCGGAATTAATTGTGAAATTTAAACTAGAAAATGAATTGACTGAAAATGAAATCATGGTGGTAAAATTTAAAAGAGCTCCAAAGTTAGAATAGTTCAGTGCCGATATACATATGCAGGCGATTGGTTTAGATTGAATAAGGAATTTTATCGTGGCGAAAACATTAGCAGTGCAGCTGAACAGTGTGTGAATAACCTTTCAGCTGGCAATTAATAGAATGAACTCTTCTCATAAACAGATGAGTTTTCATGCATGAGACATTGAATTCATGGCATCGAATCTCATTGAACAATGCGATAAACAGCAGCAGCCATATTAATACAATCACTGATTTTGTTCAACTTATGATCAATCGATATTCGGAACAGCCAAATAAAGTTTTTTTGAACTCTATTCGCTATTAATGGAAATAAGAACGGCAGCAATGAGAATTAATGAATCGAAAATCTGACGAAAGGATTTACCACTAATCACTCTGATCAAATCAGATTTTAAATTTTCAAACAAGCCAAAATATGCTATTGCGATTTCAATGCTCATTTTGCGATCAGCTGAACGGTTTGTTTTTTCAAGTGTGATTTCACTGGAAGAGATTCATTCTTAATCAGTCAATAGTCNGTCATCATTCATTAACAGAACCGATCAAAAGTTTATCCGAATATTTCGTTGCATGACACATAAAATCTGAACATCACTCGCTAATATCAGCTGAAATGGAGGCCTTATAGCGGTGATCTTTATCACTTTGCTCAGCTTGCTACGATAGCAGTTTACCTGAGCAACTATGAGGATAGTGGGTTGCAGTGAGTGATCGACTGCCTTGTTTGTCGCGAATATGAAAGTCACAATAAATAACAAGCACTTAAACATTTCGGAAGACAAATAAATATATATTTCAAAACATTCGAAATAAGTGAAGTAAAGTGCGATTCCACTGAAAAAACAGACACATGGGTGCAGTGGTCAGCAATACCTAAAATCACAAACAAATAGTGAGATTTCATTTGACTGATGGGCACAGGTGCTGAATTGATGTTGAGTGAATGGACATAGCTGCAAAACTGATGTTGAGCCAAACATCTCTAAAAAATAGAGTTCGTTTGTTTAATATTACCAATTGTGGACGTCATCATTTGCATG